GGAGCGCAGCAAAGGCGGAAGCAGATCTTGCAGAAGGAGACTTCCGAATCGCCGACGCCGACCGCCTCCAGACAGGTACGTCGCTTTCTTTTACAAAATTCGCGTCGCGACATAGCTGACCAGGTAACCGCATAGAATTTTATGTCATCGATATAGTAGTTCGGGGATGTAGTACGCGGGTACGAGCTTCGAGAATATATCGTATAATGCGCCGATTAAAGAATTTATTTTTATCTAGTACGAAATCGACCGGGGGCCAATCTATCGCGTGTTGTTTTCTCGGTCAACTGACTTGTTACATCGCTACGATTATACCAACTATCTTTTTGGTTACTTACGATCGAATGTTGGGAAAGCTCGATGTCTACGACTTAGTAATTAATGGATGTTGGTTCTCTAGTTCGAATATACTAAGATTAATCTTCGATCACCACAATGAATCGAACTAGTGGATCGACGATCCCGTTGCTACCTAATCGCCCGTGTGATCGTTCGGTCGTACCTAATTAAATGCTTCGGTTCAGGTGTTGCCAGCCGGAAATATGGGTTAAATTTAATCGGTCCTTTGAAGCTAAGAAACTTGCGTCCTAATTTACGTGGACACTTTGGTTGCAAGAAGAGCAACTTTGTAGTCGTTAAATCATCGAGTGTGACTTCGATCTCGTATATGGGAAACAAGCTTACCGGACCAAACTGTACAAAAATTTGTCGCTAGACCTTCCAAAAATTAAAGAGAGAAAGGACGGAAAATGATCGTTTTCAGCAGGAAAGCTCGAGCGTTCGCGCGGGTGTAATTTCTCGTTGATAAAATCCCGAATCCTTAGAAAACGAATGCACACAAATCGTAGCGTAGCAAATCTTGTTTTCTCGTCGACCTATCGAGCCCGTCAGACGAATCGGGGACACGATGCGTCGGGTTATCGTTCTCGTCTCGATTAAAGCTTGTTGCTCGACGAAAGTACATGCTCGAATACGCGAAAAGCACCGATATACCCGGAAAGGATGGGTCATTTTTTGAGAAAAGGTCGAGTTCCTGCTGAAAATTACACGCTGCAGCCGAGTCGAACACGTCCGTTCGACGTCTACGAGTGGGTAGCTGAAACACGGCCCACCGGACACTCGTGACGATATTTCAACGAGAAGTACACGCCTCGGGTTGGGTTCGCGTATATACACGTTGATACGTAGCTGGCTTTTCGGAGTGCAGCGAGATCGTTTCGCAAATTATGGAGGATTCCTGGCCCTGCACGGCACCGACCGCATAAAGTTACACCTGCGATATAGTAACCGGCACGCAAACTTACTATTTTATTGCGAGTTAAGGCGGATCTCTCGGCAGCTCGTAAAATATACTCTTGGTAGATCAACGATTACAGATGAGACTGATACGTACTTAACCGCTCACGTGTATAGTGCCTTTCGTAATTGATGTCGCTTGGAAGGAATTTTCGCGTAGTTCCGAGCAATGTCACCACGATTCATGCGATGTTAAGAACTGATTAGCGCGATGACGGTGAGACGTCGAACGAGAAAGCACTTAGATATAAGGTGCTTTTCTAAGAAGATATTCCGTTACAAATCCGACATATTTTCGATCAATCCAATAACTTGATGTCTAGGTAGGTATTGCTATGATTCCTATTGTCAGTGGAGGGTATTGAAAAGTATTGAAACCTTGGATATTAGGTATCAGTTTTCAATACTGATAGTTCCTGGAATGATAGTAATCGATAGCGATTACGTGGGAATAAAATTGATAGCCGATCTGCTTCGCCTACATCCTCGCGTATTACCAAATTTCTCGAAATCTCCCTGAATCCCAAATCCTCAAATATTCATCTTTCTAAACAGCACAGTTGCAGCCACAGTCGCAATAAAAACATTGAACTGGTTATTTCTGAAGCAGCGCCGCTAAAAATTTAATCATTACACTCGATCGAGCGCAATTTCGAAATTCTCGAATGAACATTCGCTATCGTGGAACATAAAATGACCTCGTCGGTCCAACTTTTACAGCAACTTCGACAGAATAGGTTATATAGTGGAACCTGCAAACCTGGTCGTGTCGTATTTCCGCTTTGCCTTCGAATGTAAATGTATCCGGAACAGAATAATGCCTTTTGCTTGAAACGCGAAACTCGCTTACCTTTGCGAACCGCTTTCTTTTTCGTCTCTTTTGAGTATCGATGGTAAAGAACTCGATATTCAAAATGACGTAAACAGTATCCTCTTTTTTCGCGACAACCGTGTCGCTTTTCAGAAAACATTTCTTCGACGCATTATTTTTTCTTTTAACGCGACACGTTGCCTATACGTCATTAGAAAAATGTTCAGAGGGGTTTTAAGGACGCGTGGCTTTGGTTAACGAAGATTTCTGCTTGCAACGGATATCGATACAGGTATCAATTTTCTGATAAACCTGGCTCGGATTTTCCAATAACAATGGGAAGTCCAGAAAAATCGTGATTTACTTTCTTGTCTCGAACAGAACGAAGATTTGTAATGTTCGGGATACCTGGATCGATATCTTAATTTACCGTTGCAAGTTTTTGCGGTGTTCGGAGTCCTCTTTTCCTCGTTATTCCTTAATTGTCGAATGAAACTAAATAGCGGTATCGGTTATCGATGATCTCGATGAATAATGTTAGCCGGGGAGACGTATCCTTTTAGCCGGGTGCTCGAGGTGAAGACTCTCGACTCGAGAGGGTTAATACCGAGCAATTTGAAATGCCAAGCATCGAGACGAAATGCCAAGAACGGTCAGAAGCGTTTACGCGCGGCCATAAATCACGAGTCTATATCCGAGAGGACAACGAAGGGAACGACGTTAACCTACATCTCGAGACGATGTCTGTAACGTTCACTCGTAACCTCGGGGGTGCTGTTTCATAGATACGTACCTGTTAAAAAATGCAACAATCTCGCGCCAACCTTTGACGCCGGTGAATATAGCCCTTCCGCTTCTACTCTTTACGTGCACCCCTAAACACGCGACATCTTCCGAAAGCCTCTGGTTCGATTATGATTTATAACTTTCAACGAAAGAAACAAAGCTAGAAATATCGAACGTAAAAATTCACGAGTTTGCTAATGCCTAAAACGAAGAGACTTAATCTCTCCTAATACCCAGAAGCGAAGTTGGCATTAGAGGCGAGATTAAACATTTCATGGCGAACAGTTGAAGTTTTGAGGGCAATTTTCGAGATCGTGGAGTGGCGTTCGCGCGAACAATCTCGCCAAAGTTAATTATACCGAATTGTATGTGATTCGTAGGTATCCTTCAGTGGTAACCGGACATCCGGCGCATACACGCCCCTCGTGGTTTCCGGGAACAGTCCACCGCGAAGCGAACCGATCTCCCTGGCCACTTTGGACCGCGACTGTTTCATCATTCCCCTTGCTTCTCTCGAACGTTTTCTACCCGCTGGAGTACCGGTACGTGCACCGAATCCTACTCGAAACTTCATCCAACAATTTTATCATTTTCTGCAATTTATGCTAACTTTCACGATCAAAGTATAAAAGTTTAACAAACGTTAAAAGCCACCGCTTCGACTAAAGAGATATGTAATTAACAAGGTGACTAAGACGCATGATTTGTTTAAAACCGAATGTTCGAGCAACATAACGAGTAGAATCGTTTATGGCTCGCGTTCTTTTTATAGCATCTTTAAGAAGTTATTTTGAAACTTTTATTGTACTCGCTTCGATCGTGTCGCAAACGCGTATTTCGCAACCAGGAACTGTGCGTATGTTTTAAACAGCATGCAGAGTTCGTGTAACGTCACGACCTTGCGTGCATACGCGATAATCGATAAACCGAGCGATGTTTCTCTCATAAATTCACCACGAGCCTATTCGACTGCTTTCGATCAAACTCTAAAGTACGTAGATCCGACAAGAACGTCCCGATGGTTTTTCGTCGGTGCGTAAAAATTGGGTCACCGGATCTACCAGCACAACATTTTCATCGTTACGATATGCATAACCGACTTGTTCGATTCTATGCTAATCGAGAATGCACCTGCTGAAACCAGAATGCTCGAGTTATTGGCCTTAGAGTCAGCTGTGACCTTGCTGGCACAACCTCAAACCAGTAAAAATAGATTAAAGCGTCACTACCGAGGTGGAGTACAACCAAAAGTTCGATGAATGACGCATTGATCGCGAAGTAAACATTATCGATTACTTTTCGATTCTTTCGACGGCCACATAAAATAATAATTTTTCAATTTTCCACTTGAACCGACTTACAACTCGGTAATACTATCACCCTGACATACTAAAAAGTTCCGCAAGTAATTTGTTTGATGCCGTGAAAATTAACACCGGAGTTCGAAGCAAGAGATGAACCTCAGACGATTAATGCCTTTCTTTCTTCAATCACAGCTTTGTTTCGACTCGTTGCAGCACGCTCCGATCGCAGACAAAAAGAGGCCAGGAAGTCCTCTTTCGGTTCTCGAGGTGGAAGATCCGAAACAATGTGTACTGGCACATTTCATGACACCTCTGGAGCCACTGGATCCTCTGATCGAATCTCCGGTTTCTCGTCCGCTGGTTTTGCAACGAGATACCGCGGCCGAATTGGTGGCCGAGATAGCACCTTCTGCTTCACAGAGCATTCTACTCACGAACATGGAGAAAAACGGTATATAAACGTTTCGAGTAATTACCGCGTTCTGTTAACGATGTTAAAAGTATTAACAAGGAAAATCTTACTTTCAGCGGATTTTCCGTTCATCACTTACTATCTAATAAACAAGCAGAACACGGATCCCGTGGACTTTTACAACGAGGTGCAATGCGCTGCCCTGAGGAAGTTCGATCCTCGCGATCTTCGATACGCGGCTAGTCATACGTTGGATCTGTTCAATGAGGTAGCGACAATAGCGAGGCCACCGCTGGAACCACCCGGTGTAAGACCACCGATTCCGTCCACCGGCTACATCGTCTCGATTTTCAAGGTCTTCGAGGGCGACGATGGCCTCAAGTTCGAGCAGAACTGGCTCTACTGGACCGGTACTCTTTACGTTCCATCCCTTAATTATTTTTTAATAACAAAAATCTCTCGATATAAATGGATAACGATGTCAATTTATTGCAGGTGCCCGCATGATATACAGATACCTGCCGAAATCGGTGGGTTTGAGACGCATCACCCTGCACAAGTCCATGTCGCAGGGTGACAAGATGTACCTACTCATCTGCGAGTGTTCGCAGCTGCAAGACAATCTCTCAGCGGCGGCCATATTGTTGCCAGCGCTACGAGCCCGATTATGCGGATACACGGGTCTCTATAGACCCTCGGTATGTTTCTGATTCCTCAAGAAACGCTGACAACGCGTTACCGATGCCGGACTACAATCAAGCAGGGCTACTCTGTGAAAGCGAGTCGTCGCGACTTGGAATGGCTGTTGACTCTTCGGTGCCATTACTCTGATAAGGGTGTAATCTTGAGTACACCGAGAGAAGAGGAAGAGATAATCTTGGTGGAAGGAAAGAATCTTGTTAGGGCTCGTATCGCTCAGTAAAAGTAGCTCGCAATACTGGTAGTTTTGAACGACATGCTTTATCAACAATTTCTCCGGTTTTATAAAGTCACTTGTATTTTTGCATACGAGTTCTACGAGCCGTGTAACGCGTCGCTTACGATCTTATCGGGCTCTTACTGCCGAACTTTCATACGAATGTAGCAATTTTGCGAAACGAGCCCGTCACATTGGCGTAACTAGGTATAGGGACTTGGCGCCCTTCACAATTCTTTATCTTCGTTTCTGCGAGGATATAGCTCGCAGATATAGAACACACTGCGATCTAACATTCGGTGATATGCTTGTAGAACGCATAAAATTATAAAACGTGGAAATTTTGTAGCTGATGAACGCGTGGCAATAAAAAATTGATGCGTCTTGAATAAAAATCCTAGTTACGCCAGTGACTATGTGGTCTGCTGTTCAGTATGTTATCAGAAAATCGAATGCGTATCGTACGTCGTAATCTCTAAACGAAGTCGTAATGGAAACACCTTCGTATACGCTTTAGGGATATCTTGATGAAAAATCTGTACGCTTCGGGTTGCACGCCCGTCTAGTTACGTCTCTCTGGCCTGTTTGTATTTTTCGACTTTACATACATATTTCATCCAGCCTTAAGGCAAAAGCGTAACTGGCCGCTCGATACAATCGGGACGACCCTTGCATGTACATACCATTAGGGACACGCGAGACACTTTTATTACTATCGACGACTATCGATTAAATCGCTAACTACATATCATATACTCGATAAACTGTGATATTCGAACGATTACCGCATATATCACACAACGAACGCGAATATTCGCGACGAAATACTTCGAGATCGGTTTGGCGAACGATCCTCGACGCGATGTCGAGGATGCTCCGTAAACGTAATCCTTCGGATCTTTTATTAATTGCATTCACACGTTTGATATTACATATCTCTGCCTGAATTTATCGATATTTGCGGGATTTGATCGCGATGCAGAAGGATGATGGATAAAGTGTCATTTTGAAACTGCAACGATATAAAAATTCTCATTGAAGTTTGAAATTCATACTTTATTCTACGGCGAAGTTTAAATGGTAGATCTCCCAATTTTTTCTGGGGGGAATTGGCTTCTCGTTGTATGGCCTTTGACGAGGAAACATCGTTGCTGTTCTTGAAATTCCAGATGAGCGGGATGTTGCTCAACAGGCCATATAGCGAGAGTGCACCGTAGATAAATGGTCGAGAAGATACGGGGAAAGCTTAATCAGATTTTTCTTAGGTGCCCGTAGAAATTTTAGAGAGAGGACGAGTAGAGTGAATTGGCATTGTAGTACAAAAAATAAAAAAAAGGAAGCAAACAGAAATAAAATCCGTATAGTCAATATACGCTTGTTGCATACAGACAATAGTTAGAACGATTGCGCAGGCGCGATCGGTAACGTAGATTTATAAGATATCGACGGCGTATACTTGTAAAAATACGTCCCTTCATACTCGCTGAAACAAAATCGTGGAACAAGATGCTCTTAACTATAAGACGACAAGAAACAAATAAAAAAGAACTTGCGATTTTACTGTGATTCCACGTGTATCGCAACAAAAACGATACACGTCGTTACATACGTGCGCGATTGAACGCGGTGACTGCGTGAATTCGATACGTGAGGTGTGATTGATTTATTCTCTCATCCGGGTTTAACACCGTTGAAATATCGATTCTTTGCCTGCACAAGTTTATTTACCAGAATACATTTGCTCCACGTATGGGAGTATGCCTCTTCAGGGTAAATTTGATCGTAACCAGAATCTAATCACAGAATACAGAGATCCAATTGTTTCATCGGACAAAACCAAACTGTAACATACATTGATACTTCGCAATTATAATAGGTTTATTATATCATGTACAACGAATAATAATGAAATAATAATAAATCACTTCTAATACTACATCTTACAAACTATATTGTTCTTAACTTCCTTTTCACAAACAAATTTAACAATCTTTAGTAACCTCGTGGTCCTCTGAACCTTCTTCTTCCATCAATCTGAAAATACACATTCATGGCTCATGAATAAATATATAATTATTTGTTTATTATCTGCTACATATATACTGAAAGTTAATGTACGAACGTGTAATGGCATTAATGACACTTTAACAAACAACTATTGATACTGAAATTATATTAAATCGGAACACAAAAACACTTACGATCGAGTGTTTGCATTCAAAAAATGTTTGACGCAGAGCCCAACATTCTGGAGGTATAGAAGGATCGTTACTTTGTAGACACTCTTTAGGTGTACGTCTTTGCTGCAATGAAATAAATATAAAATATTCTGAGCTTTATTGCATTATTGCTTAAAGAAGCTGTGTCTTCTATTTATTATCAATTTCTAAATACTTCCATATATAATAAATAGAAGTTATAATAGACATCAGATTGTAAATTACTCACTCACAATTTTACAACAATCAGTTTCCAGCATACACATTTTTAAATCAGCTCGAAGATGAGCACATCTCGATTTATCCTTTAAAGTTTCACCTTCCGCATATTTCATCATCTTGAAAAGCGAATAATTTGATACTTCATATGTAAAATTTTTAGTCAGCTAAATGTAGTGAGTATGTATACCACAAAATTCGCTACAGAAAATCTAACCTTTCTTTTCTCTGCGTATGCCTATGAACCATGTATAGACTAGACGAACCATCGTATTGGAAATTTACGTATCACGATCTGAAATACCGACACAAATTACAATCTTCAGATTGTCGGTATTTACCTTGACTGTTTACTATATCGCTAGATGACACCGATTGCATTGCTCGTATGATAAATAAAATTTTAATTCAAATATAAATCGTAGCTCTTAGCTCGACATTGTTTTCTCAAGATTATCTTCCGATAATCTTTAGAAAACAACATCGATTACCAGATCACACCACGTGGAGGTGGCTACGATCGTGACCCATATAATCGTAGCTCTTAGCTCGATATCGTTTTCTAAACTTAATTTCATGAAAAGTATTTAGAAAACGACATCGATTACCGGGTCACACCACGAGGAGGTGGCTACGATCGTGACCCACCCTAACTCCAAATCCCTACCACCCTCCAAATGCAATACCTCATTTATCAGAAGGATAAATGAGTTCTGACTCTACTTAGCTCATAGGCTCGCATATACAAGTTCTTTACCGCAATCCAGCAAAGAACTTGTATCACACACGCACACATCCATTAACTTAATACTAATCGCATGGGTACCCACACACGTACGCTTAACTTATTTTAAACGCCGCACGGTACCTCTTATTCTAAGATTGCACTCGAATAACCTATGACGAATTCAAAAAGCAAAGGAAAGAAAGTTAGAAGAACTTTCTATTAGAAGAAAAGAAAGTTAGAAGAACTTTCTGTCAAGAAGAAAAGAAAGTTAGAAGAACTTTCTGTGAAAAAAGGGGATCAGTATTTTTCGCCAAGTGAACCTCGCCTTCCATGGGTCAAAGGGTAGTCCATAGTGTCTTACGCGAACCACGAGACAGAGATGAACCGAAAATGCTGGCAAGAACGAGTGACACATCCGCGGAGGGTCTCCCATTTCTCCCCGCTTGCGTTTGAAGCAAGTCTGACCGCAGAGAGGAGACCCCTGCCGTGAGGCGGCAGATCGAGATGGTTCATCAATCGATCGGCCCTGCCGCGTGTTCACAGCGCTATGAACCCCCAATGATCCACTTGGGTTCGGAACGATTGACAAAAAATAACTGAGTATACTGCAAGCTAACGCGTACAAAGTTTGAGAGTAGAGAAGATGAGTGCAAGTTAGAATAAGAGGTACTTACAAGGACCCACACGAGCACACTTTACTTAAAACTAACGCACGCATAAAATTATCTTACAACTAACGCACGCATCCCTCGATGATCCATCGATGTTGCCACGATGATTGATGTCTTCACTCTTCGCGTATACGCATTTCATACATTCACTCATTCATACTACAATATATTACAATAGACGCAGCTTAAAATTAACTTAAAATTAACTTAAAATGATGAAAACCTTAAAATCCGAAATGAAATTACGATTTTGAAAACCTCAACTCCGAAATAAGAAGACGAAGAGATTCGGAAACTTCAAAGCTTTGAAATAAAATCACGATGCTGTTTGAAAACCTCAAGTTTGAAAATCTCAAATCTGAAAGAGAAACGCCAAGAAATGAAAAACTTGAAAACCGAATTGGAATGACGAGGTGATCCAAAAACTTCGAAGTTTGAAGGAATATTCACGCAGGAAATGGAAGTGCAACTGAAATGAAAGATAATAAAATAATAAAGTGAGACGGGGAAGAAATAAAATAGTGAGGAGCCTTAAATATTTCGAAGCAAGAAATAGAACAGCAAAAGTCTTGAAATCTTCGAAACGAAAAATAAAATCATTTAGAATTTGAAGAACTCTATGATTCCACGATGAGAACAAGTCCCGCATCCTGTACTCACATTTTCACACACTCACGCATACTGTAATACATTCTATATGCCCTACATGTACCTCTTATTCTAAAATTGCACTCGTATATGAAACTTTGTAAAAATTGCAAAAGGATAGGAAAGAAAGTTGGAAGAACTTTCTTTTAAGTTTGGGGAAAAATGACAAACTATTACTATAATCTAATATGTAAGTTGAAAAATTGAGACAAGATGAGTGCAAATTAGAATAAGAGGTACTTACAATGTGCGCAGGCTTTTCGCCACTTGTTGTGACGAAAAACCTGCGCCCGAGCCCACCCTTCCTCCCACAAGCTCGGAAATTAATGCACTTACCAAAAATTAAATGCTGAAACATATAAAAATTTATTAGCACAGAAATTTGAGAGGAGAGAACATAACTTACCAAGAATAAAATTCTGAAACGTACAAAAAATCTATTAACACAGAAATTTTAGAAGAGAGAGCAGTGTAGGAACTTACGAAAAATTAAATTCTGAAACAGACAAAAATTTATTAACATAGAAAATTAGGCAAAGGAGTGAAATATTCGAAATAAAATCGCGAAATAAAACCGTAGCTCTCAGCTCGGTATAGTTTTCTAACGACTAAAAAATCTTTAGAGAACTATACCGATTACCGGGTCACACCACGTGGAGGTGGCTACGATAGTGACCCACCCTAACTCCAAATCCCTTCCTCCCTCC